GAAAAAATTCCGAGATTCAAAATTTCGTCGACTTCGTAAATCGACATGCATATCGAAATCGTCCGACAAAAACCTTTAAAATTGGATGTATTTACAAATTTCTCGATATTTTTTGGGAAATTAATCGAAAAAAAAACAAACGAGACATTTTGTTGCGGAATAAAAATTAAAAGAGCTTTCGAAAGAAAATTTTTGCAAAAAAAAAAACATCAAAAACATTTGAAATCATTAGCGCGATAGATTTGTAAAATATTTCCAAATAATCCAATTGTGCTTGAGCAATTATTTATTTACTCAACCTTAATATGTATGTAGTATATTGAAAATGTCATTAACAAAGCACTTCAAAACTTTCGAAATTTTTGAAATCAATTTTCCTCGCATACTCGTGTTTTTTTAATATTTTCTAAAGACTGTTGTTCAGATGCCTCCAAACTCATATACAATGTGTTCGCTTTCGTTATTTTAATCAAGTTTTTGTTGATATTCTAATTTCTTCCCGAACAAATGTGTATTTCTCCATTCATAACCCACATGTTCACAATATATTACGATATTTTTTCTTGAAAAAAAGTGTATAAAAATTTGGTTTTTCTTTATAGGAATTATTTTTGTTTTGATTATCGTTCCGGTTTCCAATTATCACATCGGTTCAAACTGGCGTATTTTTAACGAAGTCGATATCTTTGAAATTGTTTGCGAAAACAATATTTCAGTTTAAAAAAGCGTTCACCAGTCCACCCAAAATTGTTTCTTGGACATCGTTATATACGAAGAAGTATATGTCCCATTTTGACATTGAACTAGCGTTTCCAATAGCCAGGCTTGTATGAGATCTTGACATGAAACATGTCGATGCTATTTTATGCGACCCTATCACATATGGATGATGTGGATGACGAGGACTTCAGAGTTTCGCATTATTAAGATCTCCAAGTTTATTTTGACTACACTTGTCTGTGAAGCCAAATGAGGCTGCCGAAAAGACGGCCGAGTTTTTATGATTGTCGTTGGGCAGGACAATATATTTTCAACTATTTTTTATGATCATCTGAATTCCAAATTCTTGTTGTTCTTGACTGCCAAGACGCTGATTTTAGACTTCGAGTTCAAAATAAATTTTTCGCCTCCACAAATTACGGCGTGATGACATTAAATTGCATTTCCGGATTATGCATTCCCTTAATTTTTATTTATGCTTTAGCATGACTGAAATTTGAACTTTTGATTTAATCATTTCAATACATTTACTGATTCAAAAACGGTTTCTCGGAAAACGTTGTAGCTAAAACCAGCAGTCCTTCTGTGGAGAGGTTCTCATATCAACCTCGAGAGGGCCATTTTTCTTTCACCTAATAAGAATTATTATTTATGTATAAGAGTACTATAAAATCAAACTGTAAAATCAAACATCAACTTAATAATTTAGTTCCAGTTACACACAGTAAAACCGGATTTTAATTAATGCTTTGCATTCAACTAAAATAAATCCCTTTTCTTTCCATAACTGTCTCAAATTCCTAATTCCTTGCGTAAAAGATGCAAAATAAGAAAAACGATTCTCTTAACAACAAGCAAATCCATAGATAGACATTTTTTTACATTTTCGGTATTTTAGTTTTTATTAATAAACTTTCCCTTCAATGAACTACTCGGCAAAATCGTGCAGCCGTGGTTTAGTGTTTCAGTCATTTCAAAGCCTTGCTAAACCTTATGCCAAAATTTACTGCGGTCGATGATTTTGCAGAGGTTACTGTGCCGAAATCGCTTTTTTATTTTAACACGTCGTTATAGAAAATTGTTCCATATGCTAGTAACAAATGTCGTTCTTCAATATATTTTCTTAATTTATTAAAATTGTGCACATTCTTTTCAATTCACATTTTGCAAAGTAACAGTATATTTATTAATGATTGTGGTATTATTAGTTACCATCCTCCGTATTTTGAAATGACGTCATTATTCGAAATCTTTTAACATCCTTCATTCGTACATTAATAACTATGGTTCCAAATTTGAATTATCGGGAAATGTGATGACCATCAATTATTCCATGTGATAATGAATTAATTATTTTAATAACATAATTAGTCGAAAAAAATGCTTGATCAAAAAAATGAAAATTAATGTTCAAAAATTAAGAATAACCATATGTATTAACGCATATTTTACTGCAGAATTCTCATTATGAAATCATCAGCAATAGATTGGATGAAATCTAGGATGATTCTTTCGTATTTTCATTTCCAAATCCCGATGCATATGACTATATTCATATATTATATTCCGGCTTTTATGAAAAGCAATACCACATTTTTTTTTACATTGTTTCAACATTCTGTGACTATAATGAAGATTTAGAATATCACAATGATGGGTTACATGCGAGAAGAATCTTCTCGATTTTTGTTTTTTCTGCTCGTTTGCATCGCGTTAGTCTCTTCATGCCAATCGGTACCTATTTTGACGTATGAATTTGAAGGTAACGGATTTGATCAAAACGTTAAACATAAATCAAAGCCATTCCAGAGCCTCTTCCTCAATTGAAATACCAGTTCAGCTTTTTGAATCGGTTGGAGACCTACCCTCAGTTAATGTAATTTAGAGTCTAACTGATTCCATTAATTAAAACTAACATAAATTGATTAAGGGAGAAACGTGCGGTCCTTCGAATGGGAAAGCGAGCCGCAATGAGGTTTGGAAAAAGGGCAGCAATGCGATTTGGCAAGCGAGCAGTACTACGATTGGGATGAACTACGCATCTCAAACATTTAAAAATTGTCTTTAATTTGAATAAATATTCGTGATTGTACGCGCTTTTGCAAAATGCATTCAAGAAATAAACTCTGCCCTGTTATGTTGTGTTTAATTTTAAACTTTTTTCCACTTTTAAATTCTTTGATGCCTTTATCAGATCTAATTTTGTTTCACGAAATCATGCCCAAAAACAACAACTATAGGTTATTTTTGACTATTTTTGAAACATCGAGTGAAGCCTCGAAATAATGCAGTCAACTACTACATAAATATATTTTTTTTCTACATTTTTCACAAAATAGACAAACGTGCGCAATTTCTCGTGCATTTATATTAGTCTCTATGTATGAGACGCCAAAGGCGGACTTTTAGAGTTTTTCATTCATTGGGAGTAAACTTGTTTCTGACAAAACGAATTTTTTTAATGCATATGTGTATTCGAGCTTCCAGCGATTGCTGTATGAGGGAACATTTGGGTACAAGGGTACAAGGTTATTTCACATTAAATAGCTGATTTAGATTATGCTCAATTTTTCACCTTAGAAACGCAGAGAATTTACAAAATGACAATGAAAAATTAAACTTATGAAAATAACAAAATAAGCATTCGCGCGTGTTGAGACCATGCTGAAAGGTATGTAAATCAACCGCCAGACATTAATCACGAGACACCAATTAAATCGTATATAAGAAGGTCGAAATAATGACCTGAAATGCTAATATTCGAAATATACCTACACTGTTCTATATGCTTTAAAAATTATTTTATGTAACATTGAAGTCTATATATATATATATATCGTTTAAATTTATTTTTCGGTAAAATTGAAGAAGTCTTAATCATTTCGTACATTTGGCACGTTTACTCTATGCAAATTTTCATTTTAGTTAATGAATCGTTATATGGACTTTATTGCATGATTCATTAATTCATTCTAACGAGCCAATTAAGAATAATTAAAGAAAGAAAATTCCATTGCATAATTAAACGCGCTGGTGCTTCCCTAAACACACTCATATTTTTGTATTGATATTAAACATATTTGTAGATTTAAATCGGCTCGCCAAATGGGATTGGAGGAGTCCTCTAACAAACCTTTCTCCCGTCCATTTGTAGCGAGAATTCATTCAATCTTTGCTCACGCATTCATATTGCTGCCACGTTTCATCTTCTCAATGAATTGATTTTTCTTCGCATAAAATTTTGAGAACAATATTATTCATATGATTGTCATAAATATCGTTTTATTGTGAAACAATTTATTGAGCGATAAATATTTTTTTGTGAAAAGAATTTACTCTTATTCATATCCTTTTCATAGAAAAATGTTGTGCTACCTCGTACATATTTTTGAACTAAATTGATAGTTCAATCTATTCAATGCGTCACACTTAATTTTATTTAAAACATCATGCAAAGAAATTGGTTTTAAAAAGCACATATGGACTTTTTATATGATCGATATAATATGAATATGTAGGCAAAATTCGAGCTTATATGTAATTCTCAAAGCTCATCTGCGCAGTTTTCTTATGTCAACATATACTCTTCGTTAACAAATGAATATGTACTAATCCAAAAAACATTCTATTTTGTCTTCGTCATAAATGAATTATCATTTTTATGGGCATTGCCTGTTATTGCATTTTATTTTCAAGTCTAATTTTTGACAGGGCTTATTTGATCAATATTCAAAAAATGTATGCTAGATACCATAATTGAAATGAATAATGTTTATTATTTTTTCCGCTAAAGCATTAACATTTTAATCTTAATATTTGAATATTTTCAAAATTCATCGTTCTATTAATATTTTTTTTTTTCAAATTGGTCGTTAATTAAACGGCCGAACTTTAAAAGATTCAAGGCAAGATTTACACTCGAAGCGACATGTGCGCTCTATGGCACTGTTTCTCAGCTAGGATTGTTTTTGCGTCCTTGATGAAATTTGCGAGTGCGTTTGTTTGTTTGATTCGTTCCGATGAAAAAAGTGGCATCCAAATTCAGAAAATAGTTTGAAAACTTGTTCCGAGTTGTGATTTCGTTCCTTATTCAATGTCTGTCTAGAAGTGAACACGACGTTTCAATTTGATACGAGAAAAAACGTTTAAGAAAAAAAAAAACAGCAAAAGCAAACGTTATCGACTTTTGTCCGTTTTACGCATACATCACACACTGTTCAGATTTGGTCTATTTTCAGAAGTGCTACGTTGGATGGTGTCAAAAGTTACTTAATAGAAAAATGTCCAAAGATATAAGGTTTGACTGACAAATGATAAAGAATAATTAAAAATATTGTTTCAGCCGTCGAGAAGCCATTCGCAATAGCAATTACATTTGCGGTGTTGTAGAGGGTAAGAAACTGAATTAAAAAGAAATCAATCTTTCAATTTGAGGGTTCTATGGAAGACCTTGGACACTTGACCAGAGGAAACATCTGTATGTTCGCATGAACGATCTTGGACTGAACACTTATGTATATGCTCCGAAAGACGACGTTAAGCATCGAGCAGCATGGAGGGAAATGTATACCGAAGAAGAAATTGGTAAGTCATTTTTTTTAAGTTGAAAAATAATGACTTTTTAAATTTTATTCTTCACTGCTTCAATTTAGTAATCAAGATAATATAGAATACGGAACAGTTAGTTACTTAGTAATCATAAACTTTTATTACACTGGGATTTCCCAGAACTGTTACCTTTTCGAAAATATTTGAAAAATTCAAATTATTCTGTTGGAAACTAATTTACAGCTTAATTAATTTTGCACGATCTTATTATATGCTTGTTTATAGTATAATTCACAACAATTATATTATAAATTAAACGGAGTTGTGAAAGAGTTGGAATATTTTTGATGTTTAGATTTTCCTATTCTAACCTCCGTCATTTTCTAATAATCATTTTCTGGATTAATTTATATCAGCAACTTATTTGCTTGATTGTTTTGAAACAAAATACGTCATAGATTTTTTTTAAATCGTCGCAATTCATTTTTTTTAATGCGAAAGATAACACTTAGAGAATGGTGAGACAGGCGAAAATTGCATTTCCAGGTATTCTTCGCGATTTGGTTCAGAACGCGCATGCGAATGGCGTCAACCTTGTCTACGCTCTCTCGCCAGGCCTTGACATTATCTACAGCGATTCAAATGAACTCGTGACTTTGAAAAGAAAGTTGGAACAGGTTACTTATCTTTATCAGTTTTATGGTTATAAAAACACCGATTTCAGGTCGCTGGAACGGGATGTAACTCATTCGCGCTCCTTTTCGATGACATCGAAGTGACAATGCAAGAAATTGATAAGCTCCAATTTAACACATTTGCCGATGCTCATGTGACCGTCACCAATGCTGTTTACGAGCATTTGGATCCTGTTCAATTCTACTTTTGTCCAACTGGTATATTTATGTTTAAGAACACCTCCAATATCTTCTTTTGTTTGTTCAGAATATTGCGAATCACGAGCTGTTCCGGATTTAGAATCTTCCGAGTATTTGAATGTTGTTGGCGCCAATCTTCATCCAAATATTCATGTTCTGTGGACAGGTAAGAACATTGTACTCTTATCAATTTCATCAATCCATTTTTTGCAGGCCCGCGTGTAATTTCACGATATCTAACCGTTGAACACTTGAGATCTGTTGGCAATGTATTGAAAAGAAAACCGCTTATTTGGGATAACCTTCATGCCAACGATTACGATCAAAAAAGAGTGTTTATGGGACCGTTTAAAGGTTTCAAACTGGATTTGCAATCAATTTCGAACTAAAAAATTTGCAGAGAGATCTGTCGCCATTAGACAGCACACTTCAGGGTTGCTGTTGAATCCAAATTGCAAGTACGAAGTGAATTTCATCCCATTCAATACACTTTCTGATTGGAACGCAGCTGATCATGATGCAAGTAAAGGTCAGTACATACAATTTGTAGCAGAATCACAATTTCCGGATAAACGAATACATTTCAAATTTCCGGCGCGAATTTCCGCTTTATCGTTTCGTTATTTCACCAAATAATGATGATGTCAATATAATATTTATAGAATCTACTAATGGACAACTAGCCGATCGTCGAGGATTGAATATCGATTGCAATACATTAACAGAGTATAATCCAGATTTATCGGTTCGGAACGCAATTTACGCATGGATTCAAAATTTCAATTCGAGAACTGGTCCTAGTATTCCACAGTACGATCTTTAGCAGGAAAAACTTTATTTATTTCGAATCAATTCAGAATCCCTAAAATTGACACTTCCACTGATATGGCAAGTTTCGTATTTGAACGCCAAAAATGTAATTGCAAAACGTTATACTGAAATTCACAATATTTGATAAATTCAGCTGAGACGAACTCTGTGATGGGAGAGCAACCGGTTCCTCTTGAAGAAATTATTCAAACTGTTGTGTCTCCGCAAATTCTTAAGATTCCGGCTGAGCATAACTCTCTCACTGTCGATTACGCGCTTCCCATGGAAGTAATGAACATAGTTTATATAATTATTTCGAATTTGTTTTATAGGAAGATGAGCCATTGGGAAACGATGCAGAAGAACCCGATCATGTCGACATGGAATCGTGCGATAGTCCAAAACCATCTAATATAATGTAACGCGACGAATAAGAAAAAAATGAAACTCACGTATTTTCTAGGTCGTTCGAAGTGTCACAGATATCGTCACTAGTTGATATGTTTTACTTGCCGTTTGAATGCGGAGAGCGCATTCGCCAATTATTTGATAACTATGCTTGGATTGTACAAAATGCTGCGGTTATGAAGAAAAAACATCAAGAGATTGAGTTCGTTTTCAATAATTAATACATTCAATTATCATTTGCAGAACTCTTGATCCTCTTCAATCCGAATGGTTAACCCGATATGAGTTCATTAACGAAATTCTCAGCAAATTAACAGAATTTTTCGCTTATGTTACTGAATCATCTAATAAGGTTAATATTCTAATTAACTACTGAACATAACGTATGTATTTAGTCATTGCTTTCTGAACTAATCCCATATGTCTATGAAGCTCACGGCATGAGCACTGTTCTGTTAGGATTGGCACGTTGGATTTTACAAGGAACTGCTAATGATTATCCAGGTTTCATTTATTTTAAAATCCTGCTCGAACTGTTTATAGAGGAGAGAGAAGCCTTCTTTAACTATGCACCAAGTGAAGAACCGTGGGCTACACATTGTGGTTTTGTCAATGAATGCGTCAAGTAATTCCCAAATACATTTCCTTCTCTAATTAAACTAATCTTGAAGAATGCTAGCGTTTGATGTAAAGCTTGTCGATCTGTTCAATCCAAAAGTTGCTCTTCCCGTCAGTGTTACTACCTATGAAATTCGACCATTCACTTCCTGTGACGAAGTAAACAATAGTTTAATATTTGTTGCAGCAAAGCCAATTTCAGGCTTTTATCACACAACTGGCTTACACTTCAATTATTACTAACGACAACATCCAGCGCCTTCGATCCAAAGTGTTTATTGACAAATACTTCCCATTTGTTCTTGCTGGATCGATTCACAATTTCCTTTGCGAAGAAACGAATCTTAGCGCAAACATCCGCAAACCAATGTGTTTCGCTATGGCTCACATTAATGGAATTGCTATGAAATCGTTTCTGCCGGGTTATAAACGGCAGTTGTGCGCGAAATATGAAGGAGACCATTCTGTGGAAGGATTTGATGTAATCGAACCCTTTTTTACCAACTTTGTTAAGGATTTACCTGCTTCAGGCAAAACATCTTATCGATGACATGAATTACTGGTTCCCAGACGTGCAGGATGACGTGTTCACCTACTACCCAGCTTGGTTGGAACTTTATTTTAATGTTGACGCTTACGATGCTGTACCAACCAGACGACTTATTCAGACAATTGCTCTTAGTCTGGCTCTTGATGGTAACAGATTTTCGATCACAACACATATAAATCTCTAGAAAAACAGTATTTTTATTCTTCATGCAAAATGATTGATTTTAGTGTCAAATTTGACAGTTTTTTTCTATTACTACGAATTTCACAACTTTGAGATTTCTTAACAATGATAGATTGAGCAACCGTTGAATTATCTCTCCTTGAAATGATTTATAGCCCATAAATAGCGCAATTGATAATAATTCGAGTTGTCTTCACTATAATTCTATAACGTGCTTTGTTATTTTCAGGGGCACATGGCATGTTCGTAACATGCCCATTGAGCGAGCATGATCGTTACCAATATTTATTGCGTCTCGGTTTTACTGACCTCGGACGATCGGCATGTAAGAAGTTTTATATTCTTGGCCACGACTTGAGGACGACAATCTACAGCATCGAAACCGTGCCCGAAGAATCTAATTGAGCAAGCTTTTTTTCGAAATTCTCACCAATCATGTATTTATTCTAACATTATGAAGTGGTGTTTATTTCGAGAACATGCTTCTAGTCACATATACTACAACGATCTCTCTTACTATTTTATTGCTTTGTCAATGCCCCGAGTCAATGTTACTTACCTATTCATTCCAGTCCCTCTTTTCGTTCTTTTACCTAAACATACAATGACAAGCTTTTTTATACAATGGAAATTTACTATGTTATATAAAAAATAAATAATATAATGAATGTCGTATGACCTACTTTAAGTTATTTTTTCATGTCAGAATTATGCATGGAATGTTGCGTTACAAATAATTAATGAAAATAAATAATAATGAAAAAATGCAATGTAGAAAAATAAGTTAAAATTGGATACTAGTCACAATGGCACATATTATTATATTGTATTTAGAATTGCTCAGCGAGAATTTCACACAAATTGTTGACAACTGTATCCTTGCTCGAGCGGATCGTCAAACGGAACATCTAAAATGACATTTTAAGTAATATGTGCAATACATATAAATTATGCCTTAGCCTGCTTGTTTGGTTCAAGACGAATAAGTGTGCCGATTTGCTGAGTTTGAGTGTGAATTATTCCAGCACAAACAAAGTTATCTGGGTTCGGGTCAACCTCAGTCAGAAGATTTGCTCCAAATCCTTTAAGCTTCTGTTCAATAACAGAATTTTCCATTGAATATTTCGCATTGAATATCTTTTGGCACTCTTGCGAGTTTTGGCCGAGCGACTTCCAACGAGTGAAAAATTGCTCCGATGTCATATTAGTCGGTTCAAAGAACTTGTTGATGAACAGTGGAAGATAGAAATTCTTATCGAAATGCTGAGGCGAGCCATTGCGGTCACTGAAAACAAAAAAAACTTATTTTATTGTTGTATATTAGCAAACACTTACGTGTAATTAAACTTAATTTTGATGATTGGAACTTTCTGGAACTCTTGGATGCAAACAAAATTAATAAGCTGTTGCACTTGAGTTCCAGCGGCAACAGTGGGCTCGACTGGTTTTGCCTGCGCTTGCAATTGCACTGCCAATGCTCCGGGGCAAGTAACAATCGGGTTGAAATTGGTTAAGACCTGTGAGGTCTTGTTGCCATAAAACATTCCAAGACGTGCCAAATTATTTTTTGTTTCAAGTTTGCATCCAAGCTGAATTATATCATCTTCATAAAGCACTCCATTATTTTTCGAGACGAATCTAAATGAAATCAAAAAATAGTGTTTTATTTCATTCATTATTACGTACTTCAAATAATCCGATTTGTTGCTGATTTCCGATTCGTCATTTGGCACAGCAAGAATCGATGAAGTATTGTTTCCTCCGAAAACATCAGTCAAAGTAGAGGTATTGCTTGAGACTGTGTTATCAATTTCAACAAGTGATGGCGATCCTTCGTTCATAACCGCTGCCGGTTTTGACTTCTTTTCGCGATCCTCACGTTCGATTTCTTCCATTTGCGGTTTCGTTTTCTTTAGCTTAGCAAGAAGGCTACTTTCTTTCTCGGCAAATGGTGGCATAATTTCGAGAATCTAAAAAGAGATAATAGGATCTCATAATAAAAACCAATTGCATACCGTAGCCAAGACATCGCTAGATGCAAGTTGACTCATTTGAAGATATTCGATGGAGCGTTGCTGGAGCTCAGCATCCGGATTACGCAAATTATGATCAGTGCGGAAAACTTGTTGAACGAGAGGTTTAATTTCCGGGAAAAGATTACAGAACTTAATATAAGTGGTGAGCAACAAACATCTCGTGGTGATGCTACACAAATGGAATTTGGAATGAAGAAGCTCAAATTGAATTTTAGCACTGAAAATTAAAGTAAGCGAACCGGCGGAAAATAATTTTAGGTACCTAGAACGTTCATCTCCAGCAATGAAGTTTCCAAATTCACCAAGAATGTATCCCCCAACTTTGACCATATTTTCATGACAGGCTGGGCGTTGCAAAGCTTCGAAGACAGTTTTAGCAGCATATCCTTGAACATCTTCACGATTAACGACAATCTGAAAAAAAAACGGTTTAACATTTTTTGTTCACCATTGAATTGTTACCTGAATGACACGGTACCAGACTTCCTCGCTGACATAGTCACCAGCAATCCGAATGAGCTTGAGAATGACATCGACGTACCACGTGTAATCGGTTGCATACTTCTCAGCAAGTATTGCAACCTTGAGCACCATTTCTTCACGAATTGAATAGTCAGCAGTCTCCAAATACGCCAACATTTCAGCAACAATTTGTTTAGCGTTTGAGCGATCGCACATTGCATAAAGAAGGTCAACAGCACGTTGGCGAACCGAAACATCTCTGAAAAACATCCAAAATTAGAATTCTATATTAGTTTTATCGTTACCTTTCAGTTTTAAGGCTATTGATGATGGTGTCTTGGTGTTTCTTAACCGCATCATGAGAGAACTCTGAGGTAGCAAGGAGACACATTGATTCAAGAGCGAGATATCTGAAAAAAAAAACAACAAATTTATTTTAAACATAATTCCTCGCATATACCTCAAATTGGTCTCTCTATGCGACAGAAAAGTTCCAAGTTGGTTGCAAGCGCGAACTAGAAGATGCGGCTCGGAATCCATATGAATAATGAGGGCAATCGCCTCAAAAAGAACAGCATTCTTCGCATTCGAGTGCTGAACTTTTTTCGATTTTGGAGCGTCTTGAGCCTTGTTCAAAATGCCTTCGAGGCATTCAAGAAGTCTGGCTTTATTAGACGGATCATCTGGTGGTGGGTAGTTTTGAAGAAGCCGAAGAAGCTTAACGCAAAGCCATGGAGCCGGCACAAAATAGTAAGTATAATCTTGAAGATCGGTATAGGTCGCGGTGACGATTCGACTCAAACGCGAAATCGCTAATGGAACAGCCCCTTTATAGTCTTCAGGCCATCTCTTGGACAAAGCTTCTATAAGAGACGCAGCAGCGGTGACAACTCCCTTAAATCAATATATCATATCTAATTTCCATCCATAATATCTCACCATATGCGAATCATTGAGTAGATGAACAATACGAGGTGCATACTCTCCCGGCTGGAAAGATTCCGGCGAATTACGGAATAGCTTCAGAATGCACAACGCAGCAGATTGTTTGACGAAGTCGATGGTTTCTCCCGATACCAAAAGTTTGGGGAGATCCGTGCAAAACGCTTCCGCCATTTCACGACATCCCATGTTGGAAATGCACTGAAGGGCGAGATTGACGTGGACCGGATTGCGCGATGTCAAATCGTTACGAATTCCTTGCACAATCAGTTTCATCAAGTCGGATTGTTGCTCAATGAGCACCGATATAAACAAATATCCCTAAAGTTTAATAAAAATTATTTAAAAACTGTCTTTAGACTTGAAGCTTTACAATTTGCTTCTCCGTATATTTGTTCGAAGAGAGAAGATTGACGGCTTCCATATGTCCAAAATCAATATCATTTCCAAGAAGGAAGATGAACAATAGTTTGCACACATACTTTTTCTTCTGATAGCCGTCAAGGGTTTTATCGCCTGAGAAATTAATATCAATACCGAAATTTTTTAGAACTTGTTATCAAACCTTTGAATTTCGATCGGATGTTTGCCAACTCCTTGTTTATACGTTTCAGTTCAGCTTCTTTGCTTTTGCAATTTCTTATATCGCTAATAAAAACGGCAAGCCCTCGCATGCCATCTCCTTTTACAGCCGGCATTCTGTAAATTTAATTATTTCAGTTTTCTTTTAAAAATTCAAAGTAATGCATAAAAGGGCAAAGATTTGTTTTGAATGATTATATTGATTTTTCGCCTTTCATATAAGTCAAACGGAAATCATATGACACAGTTAAACACGATGACGAAATAATGATAATGTTGGCAAAAACAAAGTTTGTCAGTAAAACAGGAATGTGGAGAAACGAGGGAAATCGAAAATCCGATACGACGGAAGCGGTCACTGAGGATGCAAGGGTCGATGAAAATGTGCAGTTCGGTGGGGCGCACTTGCAATCGGACTGCATAAACACAACATTTTTGGGGAATGCCCAGAGAGTTTTCCCGTACACTCCCATTCTTCTTCGCATTGATTTTTTTCTTTTTACGAAGCATGAGAATGGAGACGTATGTACGATGAATATTATGGAAGGGGGGGGGGTGTGAGTGAGCCAACAAAAAAATCGAGTTTTTCTAAATAGTTGAAGCGAAAAAAAAATGAAAAAATTAATTAAAACTTATTAAATTTAAAAGTATATGCGGAAAGCAATTATTATTTTTTACTTTTTATAATTTAAAAATAAATACAGATGTTATTGATTGATGAAACATAATGTTTGTACCGCATGTAATATGAATAAATATATAAAATATTGCATTTCTACGCGTTATATAAATCAATAAGAAATTGAAAAACTGGTGCATGATTTCATTTTTAAAATAACACAAGAATTTTGTTACCAATAATTAATATTCAATACGATGTGACTAATGCTTTTAATCTAATAGCATGTTTATTAGTATGTTACTATAACAATAAATGTTTGCCTCACACAAAAGAAATTCACAAATGTCTTGTTTTCTTGAAATATTTAAATTTATATATAATTTTTGTGAAGGCTTCAACTCCCAACATTCTGTGAAATATGAACAATATTATAAAGTTTAGTGATATGTCATTTTTAAATACTTGATAATGTAGATATTTGCCGAAAATTAGTTGAAATATAAAATTTATTTTCAAATTTACGTTTTAGCCATTTTAAGTCTCTAATGTATTGGACTGGTTATCAAAAATTTCAAAACATGTTTTTTTTTATCGACAGATGTAAATGAAATATGTGTATTATTTATAAATCGCTTTGTTTTACATAAGAAAACTATGAGATACATATACATATATATATATATTACAATATTGTACTTTTGATATAGTTCAGTCATACAGGACATTGAATTGTTCTATTATGAAATTTCTTAGTCTTGATACAGCGGATTTTCCATTAAATATGCACATTCACTTGGTCTTCTCGAGTTTCTGGGCGAAATTGAAACCGATCGTCCTGAGGCACTAAAATCTTCTTATTACAACATTTGATCTTGATATATAGTGCACCTTGAATATCGATCTGGTAGGATTGGGAAAGCTACTTCGTATGAAACGGTTTCTTTATAAGGAGATACTGGCCGTCCATCGTGAATTGAAACCCAACGAGATTTTTTGGTCAGCTGAACAAAACCTCCGATAATTAGATTTCAAAGTTGTGTGTACCTTTTTCAATGGCAAGTTTGCCGAGTTCACACTGGTATTGCTTCCACGGGACACTGCTCCTGACCGAGAAGAGGCTACGGACCTTGGAGAGGCCAGATTGATGGAGCCGCTTCTTGGCGAAACCTCGTCTAGAATATTTTTAGTTTTATTTTTAAATATTTTTTTGACGGCATTTACCGTAGTATTTTGTCCTTGGGGAAGCATTCTTCAAAGAATTGGCCGGTTGTATATCTATTCTTGGAATATGTAGTGGTTGAATAGGCTAAATTATGTACATTTTTTTAAATTAAAAATGGATAGTGGTAATTGCATACCTGTAACAGGTGGTTGGCAAAGTCATCCCCAGCAGGTGCAATTGGCTGGACAGGGGTGGCGGGACGAACAGGCTCAGAAGGCTAAATTCCAAATTATTTCGTCGATAAATCATATTTTGCATAAAATTATCTGGTGTTAGTTTTTTTAGATACCATTGAGAGTTACTAATTATATCAGATGTAATTTTATTGGTATCTATTAAATATACATTTTCTATTTTTGCTGGTATTCTTTGTTTTTGATTTTGACGAGGCTTTGGAAATATGTTTTTTGTATGATAAAAAACTTTTACGACCCTTATTTCAAAATATTTAGTTTAATACATCTCTAAAAAATATATGATTTGAATAACGTTGCAAGTAATCCCTTGAGGATTCGGAATTCTTTTTCCTCGTCTATTCGCAGGTCTTCTCGACGCTTACATACTCACTTTAAAGAAAAGAGATTTTCATTATTACCTTATAACTTTTGGATAACAATATGAAATACAAAAACCCCTATAGTTTTTTTCAGTGTTTTTTTTCGTTTTAGGGTGTCAGTTGCATTAGGATTATATTTTTATTTAGATTGTAAACCAATTATTGAAATAAAACATTTAAGAGAATTTGTGAAAACCACCCACTATCAAATCCCATTGTTCGGCTAATGGAAATAAAAACACGCAACACTAAGAGTAGAGAATTGACCAGAATACACTAGAATACGTACGGTTTAAATTATTAAGTCTCTTCTCAATATAATAGTAGACAGTTTCTGCTGAATATAAAAGCTTATTCAAGTTTAAGGCATCAAACATTGTGCTGCGAAATGATTCAGACTTACGCGTAAAACGCAATACATATGTGACATCGTGACGTTTCATGCAACACAAAGTTTTCTAATTCATTTTCACTCTAAATTTAACATCAACAGCTCATTATCTAGAACTAAACACTTTTCAAATGATTGTTTTTGCATTTTTTGAAACTTCGGTGTCACTTCAAACACCTTTCATAAATTTCTGTCTCCGAGACGACGAAGCCCTTGCTCTACATACTTACGTTTTTTTCAATTTTCACAACTATTTCCCCATTTTCGTCTCGTCCATAGGTCCTTCGTTCTGTATATTGCTTAGAGGACACTTGGCGTTTTGGCTGAAATTTCATCAACGCTATAATTAAGAAATAACATTGAAGAAATTGAGTACTTTACTGCACCAGACGGGTTTAAAAAAAAGTTTAGAAAATTATAGCCTTAAAAGAATCTAAACCAAAGGTGTACATTAGATGTTGTCTGGAGCGTTGATATTTTTATGTCTTAACTGTTTCCTTCATACCTCGCTATGCGGGGTTCCATGGATACGTCGTTCGAAAGTTTCAATCGTGTGAGCTTCTTCCGATCCGATTTTCTAAAAAAATAAGATTATCATACTTAAAAACCACTAATTCGGAGAGTCCATTTATGAATACATTCTACTTTTTCGTAAATTTCGAGATATGACTTGATAAAGAAAACATTGTAATTTCTGAATTAATATGTCATATTAAGATTTGCATCAATCTTAACCAAAAAATGAAAATATCTTTATATTGTTTATATAAATATTAGATTTGTCATGATAGTCTGTCTCTAAAGTTTTGAAATCATTAGTTAATCATAATCCGATAAAGACCACGCATTTCAAATCAAATCAATGTCAATCGGTTTTGAATTACTGTTTTCGATTGGATTAAAAACAATCGAAGACTTTGAAGGTGTTGTTTTTTCAAGATTGTAATTCAACCCCTTAATTTGATTGATAGAATCTGACATTAAAATATTTGGTAAAGTTTTCTATGCTACTGCAACCCTTTGTTAAAATTATTTTTAGTCAAAAAACTTAATCGTTTTAGATTCTCAGGCTTATATATTTTTCATTTGCCCTTAATATAATTTTCCCACAAAACTTTGAGTGCACAAATGGTACTCTCATAATAGAAATTTAAATTGACTTTTGGCAATTGGGTAAAAACAAAAGTACTCACCCCCTCCCCCATCCGCATATTTTTTTTTGAAAATTTTTCTTGAAACAAGAAGATGAAATGCAAACCTCAAATCGTCCACCCTTGTACGGTTTCACATCCATGGTAGTTCAAAAATAAAGCGCAAAGACGACTTGAATGTCTCTGAATCAACTGTTCAGCAATTCGTTTTTTTGTTAACGTAACTTTTGCCCGCCTCGTCTTGCGATCTACCACTTCCCCGTTTCACCAATCCCCATTCAGTATTTGTTCTACTTTAACACCGAGCACTGAATAAATATAACACAGTCATCACACAGAGCGGCGGCATCAGTGAGCAGAAAAAAAAGCTTGCTGAACTCTTCTTAAGTGGATCCACACACAAATTTCAAGAATTGATAGGTGAAAGTAATGAAATCTTATGAGCACGCTTGACTTGAGATATAGAAAATATTATGTTTCTGCTTACCACAGAAAGATAAAATTTTAAATTTAAATCGCAAATTGCAGACTCGTTGGTGTTATTTTATTCATCTCCTTCTGAAAACGACATTTACAGAAAAATTATTTCCACTTTCATCTTTTTAATGTTTATGTACAAATTTACATTGTGCATTGAAAAACCCCTTATTCAAACAGCTCAACAATATTTGTCGTGCACCAGTTTTTTTGCAAGTTTGTGTTATTTATAAACATTGGGAAATAAATGTGACATTTTCTCTTTTAAAAATTTCAACAATTTTTCAAATAAGACGTTCATGAAACGTAAAAATTGAACGAAGGAATAAGATTTTACAAGATTTGTTCGAAGTGACAACTAAATTACTTGAAATGGTGTGACGGACAGAGCGAAGTTAACTTTGGAAAAATATGAACAAAAGAATAAGCACATATGAGTTTTGAAAATGCGACGAACAAAAAAGTGTAAAAAAAACAGAAAACAAACAAAATATATGGACTGTGCGAAAAAATTTAGAACAATCGCCAAAAACGAGAACTCTCGATAGTGTAATTTGTAAACATAAATGAGTTTGATTGTTTCTCTGTAATGCTGTGGATGCATTCACATTTGTTTAAATCACAATTTGAATTTCGGTATCGAAAACATTCGATGGTTCGTTGACACTTTGGGTACTCGTCTTTTGCCATGGTAATTGAAAATTAATTTTTTCCTATTAAATATCGTCGCGTATTCTTTAACAAAGTTGTCTTGGTCAATAGTTAATAATTAAAAAATGGGTTTTTTTATAGAATTAAATGATTTTTGATTTTTTTTGCTAAAAGTTGTCGATCATTATCTTGCTCGGATGGACAATTAGCAATGAAAATATATTTAAAATAAGATAAAATTCTTTTTTTTTTCATATTAATATATGCACTTTTTTTCATATTAATATATATAAATTATTTAAAAATTTTAATTTTCTCTTGTTATTGTTTTACTAAAATAAACAATTAGCAAAGGTATCAGCGTTTGCTTTGTTTCCCTTCACATATTGTCATGTGAAACCTCCTATTTTTGTGAAGTATTATGGTAGATTTTACATCATCAGAGTTCGTGTTACCCAAAGTATCTCATCAGCATATCTATTTTGGTACGATTAGTTTGTTAATTTCCGATTTGGATCAACTTGAATCAATATTGATTGTGATATATTGTCGGAGTCAAATGACAGGACGAAATTGTAAAAATCTTATTGGCTAAGTGCCAATGCATCTCGAGGCAACGAGAAGTACGCAAGATTGCGTATTGCGCAGTTAAGGTTTAGTCAACGTTAAATTTAAATCTATAAAATATCGATTTCGCGAATTTGAAGGCCCGCCTCCCTTCAGTCGTTTGTCGCCGGCATTATAAACAAATTTATGCTAATCGTTTCAAGAAGTCACAAGTGTTGTTTTTTCAAAATTACGATTAAACATGGAAGGTGTTTCACTAATTTTGTTTTACCTTTGTTTTCTTCTTTTGCAGACCGTTTCTAAGCTATAATATGACCACCAAAATTCCCACCTGCAAAACTTGTCCGATTTTATAAAGATTTAGTTTAAAATTTCAGTAGACAATCTAGCATCACATTCCTTCTTACCACCACAAAGGAGATTGCAGTGTTCCTAGACATATAGTAAAATAAACCCCTTGTGAGGATGAGCAAATTCAATATGTGCTGTTGCATTGGTTCCAATGATTGAGCAATCTTGTTAGCAAAAGAAAATTTTTTCTAACAATACTCACGAAGGGCATTTTTTGCAGAAAATTAAATTAAGTGAATAGTATACATATGTATTACAATTCAATTGCGTGGGACATTTGTGAACCTTATTGAATTATGAAAATTATGTCACTTTCGTTGAACAAAATGTTAAGTTTTGTCTTTTCCGCGACAGTTAATTAATTTATTCATTCTTGTTCTTCGCATCAAAATGTGAGTGATGTCTTGACTTCAAATTATGGCCGCAAACGTTTATTTTCTTTGAAATAAAGAAAAGTTCATTTTCAAAGCACTTTAGATTATCTTCAGTTTCTGAGAATGATGTATGTCAAAATTTGCAATGCAATGTGCATTTTCTTAGATCGTAGGATTTATTTAATATTTGAAAATATTTAAAACCTTTCTCTATTTTTTCCAAATTTTCTAAGCTCAAAATCCTTTTAAACAATTGTAATATTGTTTCCGTGATACAATTATTGGAGTAGTCGCTGTCTTTGTCATTTCTGCAAAATTTCTCATTCCAACATTTTCTATTTAATAATGGACTATCATTCACATTTGCGTGTGTACATTCCTAAAAAACTTTACCTTAGTCTCTGACTTATTTTAATTTTTTTAATTTTTGCTTAAATCTTGATTTTTTATTAGTCAAATTGAAAAAAAATGACAAAAAAAATAAAAGTAAAATTCAGACCAACTCTCTTCTAAGTCATTTTTAATATAATATTTAAAATCTAAAATTTGGTTTTTAATTTTCACATTCTTAAATCGAAATATTGGTAGTGTTTATTAGATGTTCTAAGTCTAGAAAAGTAAAACTACGAACCACTCTGACTTCCATGGTTTTTTTTTATTTTCACATTTCAACGAACATTCACTTGAAATGTTTCGATGAGCATCATTCATTGGAAATCTCATCCCATTTTCACATCTAATGTCCGTCGCATATACGTGCTGCCAAAAACACCCTGTTAGACAAAGAATTAAAAATAAGGAATAAATCCTGCATGATATATTGCGATCAGTTTGATTGAACTTTTGTTCATTCGAGAAACTAAAAGAAATTCTAGAAAAATTGAATGCAGAATAAAGGACTAAAGAATAGCAATGTTGATTATGTGAACCGAACCCACGCATTCATAATCTTTCTGCAACCTGACTCTTATTGAATTTGTTCAACATCTGCGTCGCTGAGATTCTGCGGATATTTTTTTTCAGCGAACCCATAGACTTCAATGGGTCACATTTTCACATATGAATTTCAAATCATTCTGTTTTAGCACCAAATGTTGTCCTCTAATTTTTCTTCTCGCTTCGAATATTATGTGGGGTTCGCTGATTTTCATATGTTCCCGGTCGAAAGTTTTCCCATGTTGTTGTCGCTTTCCCAATGAACACCTTTCGATCCGCTTGCCGTATGAACACACACGAGTAGGTTTTGTGTAATCCATGGTTCATTCATACGTATTTCTTCATAAAAAAATATTAGGGTGTCTCGACAAGACGATTAGGCTTTGAAACGCTCATAACTTTTTTTGGCATCATTCGCGTTTTACTATCGTATCTTAAGAAAATTGCCACATTACCACCAACGGATGAAATTCTTTGTTTTGTTTTATAGTATGTTTTGTTTGCAGCACAAAAGCAATACTTGAATAAATCATTGAATACGCAGCTCAAATTTCAAAAAAAGGAATATATAGAAAAAAAGATTTTGGCGGTTTCAGTATTTCTTACGAAATGTTTTATTGTTATCTTCTCGAAAAATTTAAAACAGGTCCCTAAATTTTTAGCAATTTATATATATATATATATTTTTTTTCTTTTTAACGTATTCATATGTTTTATAATCTCAAAAAAATAAGAATTTCGAAATAAGTCCTAAAGCTCTTTGTATTGTATTAGTTTTCAATTCATCTCTACAACCTAAACTACGTTTTTTTTTCTTATTAATTTCTATGCGTAAACAAATCTGGAATATTTACAATGCATTTCTCTTGGGATTACTATAAATTAAAGCAAGAAATTTTGTTCCTGAGATTTAATGACCAAATTGTCTATCGATCTATTGAGAAGATGAATGAGAATATTATATGAGCGATCATCATTCGATAGAAAGCTAATAATTCAATAAGAACGAATTTGATGAATAAGATCCCGTGAATTTGTCATCCAAACTATTATCATAATATTTTATTTTAGATACAGGTTCACATCATCGAGCGTAAGAGTAATATATGTGCAATTTTCTATTCAAGCGCATTGATGTGTTCAGTAATACCTAGGTTTCTGATCTAGTTATGCTCTGTCTTATTTGCCAAAGTATTAATCATGAATACCAGTTGCTGTCCAATTTGATCAAAAATCCGTTTGTGCAAATCAGAATAGTAATTTGGTCTGTTAAACTTGAACGCGCGCAATAACTTTTTACGTCACTTTCAAAGAAAATCTATTACCGTTGTGTGGAAATATGGGTTATTCGATAGAAAAAGAACAGTGATCATATAATTATATTTTCTTTGAAAGTAAAACGGTGAAATTGGTTGGTTGGTTTCAGCTCTATGACAGCAGGCAAATTGGTTTCAAACATATTCTAAAGGATTGCGGCCGATTCTTCTACGATATTTTTGATTAAGTTAACTTTTAAATTCTATATAGGAGATTTTCATGATCTCATTTTATCTAGTTCCAAGCATTTAAACATTCTGTATATGTAAAAATTTGAAAAACTCAATTTCACTTCATTTTTGAAGTGTTGACAGATGTAGTGTCCACACTTAATTCGGCACAAATGGTCCCGAGGACAATTTCTTTTACGGAATTTTTTTTGTAATATAAAATCCTCAGGCAAATCAAATAAAATATTTTAAGAATCAAATATTCAGTGATAAACTCTAAAATATTTTGAGAAATTCTAA